GCGTTGGACTTTTTTATGTGGAACTACGAAAATAAGGCCGTGTTTAAACTTTGCGGGTAAACTTTTAACTCTTCAGGGGAAAAGCTAGTGTAAAATTTCAAAAAAAACATTGATATATTTCTGTAGATTATACCTTTAAAAATAACATATTAAAATTTCAAATCGATATCTGAAATAGATTTTGAGTTATAGCAGCCGCTCGGCAACTAGAGAGTCTCCTTAGCTACGAGTGAAAACGATCATTTTATCTTTAAACGCGTTTTTCTCGAAACAGCTTTTTCCGAATTCGCTGCAGTGATTACTCAAAAGCAAATAATTCGATCACTATCGAATTTCGTCTACATGTTCTGTATATAGTTCTCCGTACAAAGACCTATCGATTTTTGATCTGATCAAAAAATCGAATTTTGGTAGGCCAAAAACGCCCAACATTTTAGGTAAAATTCGACTATTTTTTTTAAAACGCCGCCATATTGTCAATTTTTGATTTTTTTTATCGTAGGTCATTGTACAGACAATATTATCTAGCAGAGAATTTTTTTTTAGATTTCATCCATGGAGAAGGCCGGAATCACTGCAGCAATGAAGGACCTTTTTTTTCGGGCCGTTGGAGATCGACTATAACTAAAAAAAATATTTATTAATATTATTTAATTTTTTTTAATAAAAATTCAGAAAAATCACCCTTTTTTAGGCCATTACACTAGGTGTGCCCCTTAAGCACTTTAAAACCAAAATCCGCCAAGTTATGGCTGAGATACCGCCCAATATGTACCGAAAGGAATTCAATTATTACCTTAAACGGATCGAAGTCTCAAAAAATTCGTCAGTCGATATTTAAAAATACCAAAGTTCGGATTAAAATCCTGCTGTCATACTAACACCCAAAAATTCATAGAAAATTAATTTAATTAAAAAATTAAGTTACATTTTTTAATTGCGGTCGCCCCTCGAGAGGGTATCTCTACCCCTCCGAGTGTATTTCTGACATGAAATTAAGCTCCTCATAAAAAACCATCAACCGTTCGGAGGCGGATTAGAATAAGTTGTTGGTTCCTCCATTTGTTGGAAAAACATCAAGACGCAAAACCACAAATTGGAGGAGGAGCTCGGCCAAAAATCATTTCAGCAGTTACAAAGTGCCAATTATATATTATATACAAAGTTCAAGCTTTATAATAAAAATGGAATTTCTCAAAAAAAAAAAATATTTTAAATATATTTTATTTCGGTTTATTTTCGAAACCACAAAATGGATAACCCGGTAGTGCTTAATTTGAAATCTCATAGAAGTTGTACCATTTATATCTTATTATTAGTGTTTATAGCGGAGGAAGGAAATTCACTTTAAATATGCTCTAACATATATATGCCTTTAATAATTCGGTAATGTTCTAGGTGTGAGGTTCATATACCAAGTTCATAATTATCAGACAAAGTCAAAGTTTAAGCAACGATCAAAGCTTAAATCTGTACGTGCGTAGGCCTTTTTAAGACTTCATTCAGCATTATTTAAATGAAAATGTATTGAAATCTCTTGTGCATGCATAACGCACATAAAAGCAGTTTGACCTTTACCTTCCATAAATAAAACATCCAAAATTATTTCTATGTACATACGTGTATGTTTTTTTGTATATTTTAACATAGTTATTTAAATGGGCTCATTTAACTGCTTAATTGGACTTATGATACGAAACGAACTATCTTTGAATAATCAGCTCAACATTCATATGTACATCTGTCATGTATTACATTAGTCAAATTTTGATGAGTTTCAGCATCAAAAATTTCACCTGTTGGATGTTTAACTTTAAGAATCATGACAAGAAATCGGATATCTGAACAATCGTATGGATGGGCGCTAAAGACATAGTCTTGCGATTTTTGACAGCTCATAAGAATTGTGGCACAAAATCGATTAGTTGCATATTTACTATATGAGATTTGTTAGTTGTGACTAGTTTGTTGATAAATTAATAAGATTCATTTTTATAATCCAAATGTTTAAAGGACTGTAGCAAAGAAGAAAAACTTTTTCTACGAGAAATCTCAATTCAATAAAAAATAAAAAAATAAAAATTAGAATCATAAACTCCAACAAAGTCTTTACAAATCATTATAATCAAAATAAAATAATTATTTATTACAAAAATATATGTTATTCTTCTTTACTGCCGTAGAACCCCATTACACGATTGTAGCTGACAGCCCACCGTTCAAGTACAGTCGGGTTCTTCTCCACCTGGTCTGTCCAACGGAGCGGAAGTATTCATCTACTTCGGCGGGCACTAGCCAACCTAGCCGCTTCATCTTGATTCGCTGAACTATGTCAATGTCGCCTTAAATCTCTTCGTTCCATAGACTGCGGTATTCGCCGATGCCAACGTGCAGATAACTAACTAGGGTGGTTGTTTATTTGATGACCGCGTCCGTGTGTTTCAGAACCGCTTATGCAGTCTGAAAAAAACAGAACTCACGACGCGGTGGTTGTGGTCAATGATGTCCTTATAATCATAATACGCTGCACACTAGACCTTCTTTAATTAATACAGAAATAAATTAAAGAAAAAAAATTAAAGAAGTCGTTTGGTATCGTTCGGCTCGAAGAGGTCCTCCCCGATCCTAACGAATCTTTTGGTGTAGTCTGTTTAAAAATCTATGAACAAGTGTCGTTAGTCGATCCTATATTCTCGGGTCTTTTTCAAGATTTGGCAGATCTAAAACCACAATAATAAGGATCAATCATTTGGTTGAAGCTGGGTTTTAGTCTTTCACACAATACCCATCGATCGGATCTAATGTGATATAAACCTATTATCCCATGGTAGTTGGCGCATACTGTGGAGTTCCCCTTATTGTGGATTGGGCCGATTGGACTGATACATGAATATTTTAAATTCTTAGACTGTGGTACCGGGCTCGGTATCTCCTTGTGCTTCATTTTCATTGCTATTCGTGTGATTTTTTTCCTTCATAAATTCGGTGTACTCTGTGCATCAGTCACTTGATCGCCTTTTTGAATACTACAAGGGTTTGCTTAGGTATCATAGCAATCAGTTAGTCGTCGTATCTCTTCGAAAAATTTTCCTTGAGCTTCTTAAGCTCTTCATACCCACGCATTTCAGCCTCTTTCTTTTTTGTCTACACATACATCCCGCTTCCCTTTGCAATTCATTGTATTTATCCCACCTAGCAGGTGTAATGGTCGATCAGAATGTTGAGAAGTAGGCAGCCCGTTTTCTCTCCAATGCATTTTAACTTTCCTCACCATGACAGCTGTTTTGGAGACCTTTACGAAATCCCATACTGTATTTTGCAGCTGCACATATTGAGCTTGAAATTCAGTTTCCCAGTTCTATTACACCGAGTTGCTAATGACTGCTCTCAGAGAACAGGAGTGTAGAAAACTGTTCGGCAGTCTGCTGTAATTGCAGTTTTTCAACTTCGAAACTCGGAGCGTATGCTTGTCAATTGGAGACATGTCATCTGTCTATCTTAAAATGATCACAATCAAATCGTGAGTTTTGCGATATGGAGACAGCCAAATAGCTTGATAAATAGTACTGCAAACAAACATATTTCGAGTCCCTGTGAAGCTGATCAGCGTCAACCCATTTGAGAATATTTCATCGTGCAATTTTTCAACAGCTGTGCCAAAAATATCTTCTTACTTACCCTTAATGCTAGGGTGTCGTCAAACACAATTTTGAAATCATGACGTGGTAAAAGACGTCAGCTCACACCGTTCTTCTTTTCTATCGTGGCGCTTGCTCAAATCACCGGAGTAATGCGAAGGAGTACTTGCCGGCGATGACTTTCTTCCACGACAAATTCAATGTGGCCAACTTGTATCCGTCTTTGACCCATCTATGTCGGTTTAGTACTAAAAGGACATCAACCAGCTGAGCAGCAGCACCTTCCCAATTAAGAGATCGGTCATTCGTGGTACATATCCTTATATCATAGTCCTTAATACGTTTGGTGTGGTCGTCATCAAAAGTGGGGTATATCAACCGAGACATTGCCAATATATTCATTTAAGATGGTTTCAATGTGGCGGGTTCCATAACCCATGGATAGGGTAGTAGGTTTAAATTTTGCATTTTGCACACTGTTATATAGAGGCTTGCTTCAAGACCGACGTCCGCTCGCAATCGCATCTCTGTTGAAAAAACACAGCAATTAGACTTCAGCAAACCCTTGAGTTGAGTTGATGCGGCTGCTGGCCCAACATACTGAGGCCAATAGGGCCATTGTGATACCACTGAGGCTCCTGCCTTCACCTTTTCCAATGATCGAACCATTTCGTGTGCCTTATAAAGGCAACGAAATTTCTAATATTTTCTATTTTCTGAGGCTATCTCATCGAGACAGTCGTTTCCCGAGCAACTTGTCAATGCGCAGATGTCTAAGCTGAACTGTGGCAGAGGTTGGTTCAATAGACTCTTCATCTTCTTCACCCCTACAGATGCGGCAAAATTCATTAGAGTGATATCCCATTCATTTCCCATGAAGCCTGTCGTATTATGCCCGTCGTTATGTTAATGGAGAATCGATATAGCAGAATAAGGTATTTTTTTCGCGTCCAACTTCGGCCATAGTTGTTTGGTCACGTTACACGTGATCTCATACATCCATCTTGAGTCAGCTTCTTTGGCAAAGGCATGTTTGAGCATATAATTTGCCGTGGACAAAAGTAAACCTGCATCGTGGGTAGAAGGTTAAGCAAATCCTTAAACCTATTATATCGGAGTGGCTCCACAGAAGCTTCCTATCTTTTATCTTCTCTTAGGTTTAGTCTCGCAACTATAATCCCGGTTTTGACTGAGTTTGTATTTAAAGAGACAGAAAGACAAACCATGGCTATTTCTATTTACTTAGTCATTCGGATCATATCGGTAGGTATATGTATGTACCTTGAATAGAAATATAAAATAATTACCATAAATGAACTCAGCAAAATTATGACTTTTAAAAAGCTAAATTCGTCATCTCATAGCAACTACCCCGCTTAAATCTATTTCTATATTTCGACGAATTTCATTTTATTATTAAACTCATTTACGAAACACATTTAATTGACAGGAAAATCATTGACCAGCGTAGCCGGCCGTCAACTTGTCGCAGGTGTACGAAACATAAAGCAGAAATTAAAAATCAAATAAACTTATTACTCAGTCAACTACGGTCGAAGACGCGTGCGTGCACCATAAAAATTTACTCAAAGTGAAATGCTAATATTATTGACAACGGAATATGAATACACTGCTGAGCAATTGGTTAAAATCCAGGAACTACGTGGTTTAGTGAAAAGTGAGTGTGTATATATAATATATATATGTGTGTGTGTGTGTGTATCAAGGAGGTATTAAATTAAGTGATATATGTACATACACATATGGAAATAAATAAGAAAATGAAGAAATACTGAAAATATTATTTATTTCCATTAAGATTACATCTGTCATGGAACAATAAACAATACATATGTTGTACATAATTGGAATTTCATTTAGGGTCAGTGACCTACAAATTTTATTTAAGCATGATCTACGGATTTAGTGCGAGATAACAAAACGCGATAAAAAAATTTATACAATTTTCGTGTATTGATTAAATCCTTTGGTACTTGGTCCACGCAAAAAATATATGCGAAAGTATAGGAAAAATAGTCCACAACCAAACATATATATGTATTATACATATAATGATTTCCCACAGTTTGTAAGAAGAGAAAAGCAACGCTGTGCCAGCTAATTTTTATTTGCAAAATACACATTTTGTGGAATAAGAGAATACCCCTAATGTCCTTCTTATGGGGCAAATGTTTGGTCATTGATTTCAATGCAATGGATCCACTTCGTATTAATTATATCCTTGTTGCTATGAAACACCTTTCCTTTTAACTTTTTTCATTTTTGTAAATAACCAGAAAATACAAGGTGCTATATCTAGGGAATATGGTGCTGAACGTATTTCTTTGATTCCAGAGATGGCAACAAAATTACTCGTCATTTCAGCAATGTGGGTTGGCGCTTTATCATGATGTAAAAAGTAGCGCCGCAAATCCTCTTTCTGCCTGTTTTCCAATAAATTTTTGAAACCTTTTGGCAAGCACACAGTTGAATGGCAGCTACGATTAAAGTATACTGACATCATTACTTCTACTGCTGATTTTTGTTACTTAGATTTTACGGGTGGATTTGCTACTGTTGAGCTTCTGTTGGGCCTCATACCATGGCTAAACTAACCATTTTCGAATTTGTTTAGGAATAATTGAGTAAAATGGATTCGAGCCTCTTTTTGGGCCTCATTTGAAATTTGTGGTACACATCGTGTATCCCAGATGACTACAATAATTTCTTGTATCAATCAAGGGGCTTCGTCAAATTTGGACATCAACAGAGACCGAGTGATGTAATCAGTGGAAGATTTTGGTCGACTTTTTCGGGGCTCATCCTCTGCGAAAAAATGTCTAGTCTGGAAACTTCGAGACCACTTAGAAATAGTCTCTAAAAACGGTGCAAACATTCCATATACATTTTGGAACTCACTGAATATTTGTATTGACTGCAAATTACGCCGAAATCCGAAGTGAATCACATGGCGAATTTCTGTGCGCGTTTTCTCGTCTACATTTTAACCGATCTTTCTAAAATTTTAAAGGAAGACTAATAAAGTGGTACGTGGTTGTTGTCCTGAGAATTATAGACTGGGCTCTCCAGATTGATATCACCTTTCAATTATATTGGCGCTGTTATGGTGTTATCTTAAATCAATTAAAAACTCATATATTAGAAGGAGTAGGGACTTAGTTCTATTTACGTTGATTAATGGCTAGGTTTGTTTATTAACATTGCACGTGGTTACGCTCTGCCATCTAGCCTTAGCAAGTACAATATTTTGCCAAAGAAAGCGGTATGCCCTCGTCATGAACAGAGTTCATCATGGTTAAGACTGCTATATTTTTGGCCAGTTCGACAGAGACTCAAACCAAAGACTTAATCGCAGCCTGGATGTCAAAAAATTTGTATTGTAATAGGTTTTCTTAACGTATTAGGACTGAAAAAACATGGAGCGGCATCCGGTATAGCGGTTAGTTCCGCTTGAAATACGCTGCCGTGGTCGGGAAGTCTTTTACTTAAATCTATAGCCAGAGGTTCAGAGTAAACCCCACAACCTACTTTGCCATCTAGTTTAAATCCGTCGGTTGATTTCAGGAGCAATTATCCAGTACTGCTGAATTAATTGAACATAAGACGGAAGTGGTGTAGTCCACCTATTCCGAGAGGATGTAGCATTTAATATTTGAGCGTGACCTACGTATGTCGTTCCCCCAGCTCACATAGAGTTTCCTGCATAGGTATGCAAGTAGAAAATTAAACGAAATTTCAAGGGCTTTCGTAGCAGTTGAGGTCAGCACATCTGTCATGAGCGGGGAGGCCGTCAACTGAACCATTTCCAGCTTGCTCCTTTAAGTAGCCTTGCCTAGTGCTAACCATCATACAGTCACTACGTAGAATAATATAATCGTACTATCGTTTTACATAGCCACTTCACAGTACGGATCTTAGTCCTCATCTGTCCAGCAGGCGTAGAAAGGTGTATACATTAATTCGTGCGGTTAGAGAGGGCTCTAATAGTATTTTTTGTAACATGAAGAAAAGTGTCATCGACGGAGATGCATGCCAGACGCAAGAAGAACTTGCAAAGGTATTAGGAGTTGATCAAGCAACCGTTTCCAGACGATTAACATATTTCTTGTCTAGATCATTATTTATTTTGTGGATAACTCTGCACATTTTTTCAATTGTTGGATGTTTTGGTTGGGTTATCAGGTTCATCGTTACCGTGGGATTATTATACTTACATTGGACAACACTAAAAGCTGCTCAATATTTTACAAAAGTGTACGAATGCTGATGACATTGACAATGAAGAGGAAATATCTCCAACAGATCCTACTTTAGATTGAATAGGCAATTGAAAAGAGGAGTCTGCCGTCGACGAACAAAGATCAGACTCTACAAGTCTTTCATGATTCCCGTCGTGCTATATACAAGATAGGAGCCTGAACGGTATCGACATCTGATGAGGCAGTTCTGGAAGTTTTAGAGAGAGAAAGTTTTCGAACGATTTATGGTTCTTTGCGTATTAACTATGGCGAATACCGCAGACACTAGAAGGAGGAGCTGTGCGAGTTATATGGTGGCATTAATATAGTTCAGCAAAAGGAGAAATAAATAAATGAATGCCCTCCAGCTTTAAAGTATTCGATGTAGTAACCGCCGGTGAAGATAGAGAAGGAGAAAGAGAAAGAGAAAGAGAAAGAGAAAGAGAAAGAGAAAGAGAAAGAGAAAGAGAAAGAGAAAGAGAAAGAGAAAGAGAAAGAGAAAGAGAACGAGAAAGAGAAAGAGAAAGAGAAAGAGAAAGAGAAAGAGAAAGAGAAAGAGAACCGCTCCATTAGAAAGATCAAGTGACGTCAAACAGCGAGGAGAAGAACCGAATGATGCGCTATTTTTGATTCGGCTATAATCACATTAACGGTGCCCATGCCAATGAAGGGTCTTCTTCTTCGTTCATCTCTATTAAAATATGTTTTATGCGCTCGACATAATTTTCTCAGACATTTTTGAAATAGTTGGGAGGAAACTGATTGAAGTTATGATCGGTATGGTTTTTTGACTCTTTAAGGAAGCGTTTAAGAGTTTTAAATATCTTTTTATGGCATAATCTTTAAGACAGCAATCTGCTTTAGATGTTTTTTGTCATAAATCTTTTCTAAAATTATCCATGAATATGTCTTCAAAACTTCAGGGGCGAATTTGACACATTTTAGAAGCTAGAGCAGGCCAAATGCTCGGGCTTAACTTTGAAGTGCGTTTTCTCGAGTTTCCATTTTCAAGAGTTTTAGAAAACGACGTCGGTGATTGCAAAAAAAAGATATTTGTCCGATTGAAAGAAATCAAAATGATCTAGCTTCAGTCTTAAATTATTCTACAATATTTGAACTAAAAATATGGACAAAAGTGTTATTTAAACAAATTTTTTTTGCAACTTCAAGTGAATTTTCTTTTTTAGGTTATTTTTTTTATAAGTAAAATTTTTTTAAGTGAATTTTTTTTCACATTCTCCAAAAAAATCTTAAATTTTCTAACTTCTTCGGTATTTTTTTTTAATTCATATGGAAAAGACACTTGTGTTTAACAATTAAAAAAATATTGGATCAACTGTTTCTTATGCATGGCACGACCACCGTCACCGACACCGTCTCACGAGTTCAGACTTCAGCCGTTTCAGAAAACTCTTTACAACATTGGAAAACTCCAATATTTTTATAAGTAAACATTTTTTTTCTGAAGCTTAAATATAGTACATTATTGTTTGAAAATTTCTTTTACCGCAATAATTTCCTACCCTTGCAAAAAATAAAATTTCTGAAAAAACGCTTTGCGAGTGCTAAAAGTAGGACTACTTCCTTGTTGTTGTTACGCTACTATTTCTATTTTTTTCATATTTTTACTATTTTTTAAGTGTTGACAGCGTCTAATCCATGCTTTTGTCGTTCATATAATTTTTGAACGTATTTTTAAAGTGCTCTGCTAGGGCAGCTGCATTTAAGGAGTAAAGCCACTCTAGGATTTTGGAAAACGCAAAATATTTTCGCTCACAGTGTACCTTTGGGTGCTAGAAATGAAATGCAATTGATTTTGAAGTGAAAACAATGAGTACAATGAAAACTTTCAACGCATTTTTCTCAAGATCACATTTTTCAAACTGGGAGGACAGATTATTCGGACCATACATCGATTTGTCTGAAATTTTGTTGGTAGCTTCAGAATTGCATTTTTTTAGAAGTATGTAGCCGTTTTTCGATTAAATGTAAAAAATTTTTTAATAATTTAGTGCGTATTTTTTGGTATTTTTATACAAAAGTCAATCTTTTTAAAAACAAGTGTGCCGCTTACACAAAAATTAGTTAGTAAATAAATCCGTACGTCCGTCCACTGACCACAGTTTGTAGATTATAAAACTTTTTGCTCTTCTGTTCTAAGTCTCATCTTTTAGAAGATATTCCGGAATTCCGGAGTAAATTTTGTTACTTTTCTTTAACACCCGAAATTGAATTTTGTATTCTGGCGAACTCGTTACAATGTTTCAAAAAAATTTGGCAGCACTGCTTTTTTCGTCCATTGCAAATTACATTCGCCTGTTGATAAAGTAAAAAGAAAAATATTCACATCAAAATGGAAGATGGTGCACAAAAAAATTAAAAAGTTTTATTAATTTGTTTATTAAATCATAAATATTTGAACATAATTATGGACAATATGCCTCGACAAAAAAAAAAAGCTGAATGAAAACGTTATCTTACAAATCAAAGGGCTATTTTTTAGTCTCGAAAACTTCGCAAAATACGGTTTTATGCACTTTTTTCTTCATCTTCAATGAATTCCAGGTATATTTTAGCCTACCCATTTTGGTTTTTTATTTTTTCTCAAACTTACAACACAAAATCAAACAGCAGATATTTTTGTTACCTCCTATCTGGTAACAAAATTTACAGGGTAACAGTGAGCTCAGAATACGACATGGTAAAAAAAATTAACTTAATGGTAAATTATAAAACCTAGGTAAATTTTGTTACCTCGACAGAATAGGCCTGTTAATATTTAAATATATCTTACTTCTTAAGTAAAAAGACAATAGTTTTTTTTTTGGATAAAAATTAAAATATCAAAACTACAAGAACTACTGTATATAATGGGAAAAAAAATTATTTATTTTCAGACTCGAGTGAGCTAGAGGTAGGCACCGATGATGTATACCTTTCAAAATTTCTAAGCTACTGCGGTTGGCAAGTCAAAGAGGCTTTTGAAGCCATTAATCGATATTACGACTTCAAACACCACAATCCAACCTGGGTAGCACAGCATCCAGTAGTTTATTTTAAGGACATGATATATCATACTCTTTGCAAATATATAATGCCTAAACCAGACAAGGATGGACGTATCATATTTGTATCTAAAACTGGTACCTCTTCAAATAGCTAAAAAAAAACTATTGAGTCTTATATGATAAATTCATTTTATATTTTCAGTTGATGCATTTAAAATATTTCCCAATTATATAAACGACATTATAGAATTGGATGATTTGATTTTCGAATCGATTTTACTTCTGCCTCAGGTACAGAAATATGGCCTCACAGTTATAAGCGATTTGAGTGGGTATGTATTATGAAGCATTAATCTTATCACCCGTTCATACAAGCAGGATTCGAGAAAGACTAGAGCTTTCGATCTGTTATCATGGTTTAATACAATGAACAACTGTATGTTTGTATTTTAAATTTCCAGCGCCAACAAACGCTTTCTGCGCTTCGCCTCTCCTGCTATGGCCAAAATTGTGAATGCCAAAAACGAAGTATTGCCATTTACATCGCGCATTGTACATGTCATCCAAAAGGGTATGTTTTTGAACGCCACAACCAATCTGATGATGTCCTTTGCTAGTAAAGAGTTTAAGGAAAGGGTGAGTATATAACAAAATGTACTAAGTACAATGAGTTTTATTGAAAAATTTTATTATTATGATCAGATTCATATCCATGATGGAAAGAATTTTGAAAAATTACGGAATATGGTAGGATATGGGAATTTACCAGCCGAGGTACGTAGAATATATTGACAGAAAAATCATTAAAATAACCTAATTACTTTTTTTTTGTTTTTGGTAGTACGGTGGTCCTAAGGAGAATGAATTGGATGTCAATATTTTATATGAGCACTTATTGCGCCACAGCAGCTATCTTTCGCAACTTCAAAGCTACCGGAAAAAATTTGTTTCGTAAATTTGGATTCTGTATAGTAAGATGTTGGCAAAAAGAATGAAAACCTATGTTTAATAATTTTAAATCAAATGTTTGTGTTCTAGTAAAAAATGTGTGATTTTTTTTTTTTGTATAATTGTTTATGGAATCTTTTTTTTTTTTTTTGGAAACTAACAGTAATTTCGAAAATCATAAAGCTAATTCTTATTCCTGGAACAAGTTCATCATTACCACTGTGTAGATTAATAAAGTACAATAAATTACGATATAACTAATTAGATTTATCAAAAAATGTTTTTTTATATCAGAAGTACAACTTCGCTTCCGCCGTTTTTTTCCAAAATTAAAAGCTTTATTGCGAAAAAGTGCT